AGTGTTATGAACTGTTATAATAATGTGCATGAGGTGCACGAGGAAATAAACTATTATATGTGAATGACTATTTTGTCCCTGATGTAATTGTATTATTACGATTGTGCCATCAGAAGTTTTTCTATAAATAGGAGCTTCAGTCATAATGAAATTACACCTACGAGAATACATTTTCTCTATTATCTCTCTTTCTCTCTAGTTTTATAACAATCTCAAATGTTCGCGCATCCATGCAAACATCACCATTTTTTTTTTATCATTTTCACAATGGCTGCACAGTTTGATAAATTGAGCATTTTGGACGAGAAAAAAGACCAGGTCACTCGTCTGCGTATGGTTACATTATGTATGTAGACTTGGTTCGATAATGACGATAAAATCAATTGTATTCTATGACTTTGAGGTCATCCACATTTCCATTACCAAATTTAAATATATACTTTTTATTAACCATTATGTTTCCATTACCAAAAAACATACAGCCGTGCACTCGCTATTGAGAATCAGGAGTTGGTTGTCAATATAACTGGTGAGCAGCGCAATGTTTATTGCTCGATATGGACCCCATTTACCGTAACCACAGTCGTATTTTTGTTTATGCTATTAGAGGCACCGATAATACTTATGTCTGGAGGGCGTTGTCTTATGCTTTGAGATCCAAAGGTGAAATTGCGTTAAACGTTTCATCGAGCGGTATCGCTTCACTTTTGCTACCCGACAGATGCACTGCGCATTCACAATTCAAAATCCCACTTAACCTAACGGAAGGGTCGACATGTGACATTAGTCAGCAAAGTCCTTTGGCTGAACTGATTATACGATGTCGGTTGATCATTTGGGATGAAGCCTCGATGATGATTAAGTATTGCTTCCAAACAGTTGACAACACCTTACGAGCCTTAATGAAAGTAGTTGATTCACCGAGTAAAAATATCTTATTTGGTGGCAAGTCTGTTGTCTTTGGTGGCAATTTCAGGCAGATACTCCTCCTTGTCCCTAAAGGCAGTTGAAGTGACATAGTGAATGTGACCATCGATATATCTAAGTTGTGGCGAGATTGTATCGTTTGAGACTAACTAGGAATATGAGGCTTCAAAGCCTTGGTGGGGTTGATGAGTAAGATGAGTTGAGGCGCTTCTCGAAGTGGCTTGCAAGCATTAGCGACGGTACAGTCGGTGAATCGAACGATGGTTGTGTCCATATCGTCATTCCTGACGTTATTCTTCTAAAATCACAAGGGGACCCCATTGCAACTATAGTTGAGAGTACCTACCCGATGTTCAGGAGTTTAGACGACTATTTTAGCTATCTTAAGGATAGAGAGATACTTGCTTCCACAATTGATGTCGTTGCGTCCGTTAACGAGTACATGAGCTCTTTGAACTCATCCGAGAGGAAGGACTTATTTGAGTTCAGACACCTCTTGCAAGTCAGACGCTGTATATGACTCTCTTCAAGATCTTCATACTCCTGAATTTCTCAATGGGATTAAGTGCTCGGGACTTCTGAATCATAAATTGCACTTTAAGGTCGGCACTCAGTGATGCTGCTCAGAAACAATGATCACTCCATCGGGTTGTGCAACGATACACGTTTGGTTATTATTACTAAGCTCAACAACCATGTCCTTGAATGCATAATTTTAATCAATGCCAGAGTTGGTGATTAGATTCTTATTCCTAGGCTCACAATCATACTAATCGATTTGATGTTCTGTTGAACTTTCAACTAAAATATTTTCCTCTCATGGTTTCATATGATATGACAACCAATAAGAATGAATGTCAATCTATGTCGCACGTCAACTTATTACTAAAAGGTTTGAGGGGTTTGAAGACGGGGTTGTGGGTTTTTTCTACCAATTGATAATGATTGTGACTACAAATATTGTATATATAAAGAAGTGTTTAACAATAATTAAATTCACTTACTTAAATCATTTTTTAGTGATTAAGGGGGCGATTGGATATAAATTGAATAGTGAAAAAACCAATCAAAACTTAAATTTAACTCAACTTTAACTCAACTCCACTATTTTCAATATACCAATATAATTATATAATATCAACCAATCATTCTTACATATCAAATCAACTTTAATTCACTATTCATCCACTCACATAATTTTAACTAACCATCACTTCCAATCATTTTTCTCCTACTTTACATCAAATCAACTTTAATTATTTTATTTAAATATTATTTTAATATATCCACTAACAATTAACCATACCTCTTTTTTCTAAAATTAACTATAGTTAAAAACAAACCAAATAAAAACTAGTTGAATCCATAAACAATCACCCCTAAGTTATTAATTTTTATTTGTATGAGTTTTCTTTTATTAATTTCTTCTTTATTATATCGTTTTCCGTGCGGGTTAAAACTAGTGTGGAATAAGGTGTCAGACTCATTAGTCTTCAATCTAATAAATCAGCCACCACAAATCTCTGAAAGTAGCACCAGCTGCATCGGGCTTAATCTTGCACAGGTTAGCCGTGTCGGAATCTCTTTCTCTCTCTCACACTCACCCGCACAAATGGCTTAGTTTCGTTGTAGGCCATTTGTAGTTGATTGTTTTCTTATCATCTTCTTCAGTCCACGTTCCTGAATTTCAATTGGTAGTTTTAGACCCTCAACAGTTCCAATTTATATTTTATGTCTTTATATCTACAGACCTGATTGTGAAAAGGGTTCCGGAATTTGATGGTGGGGGACACTTTAAATGAAAAAAGTCATCATATATGAATCAAGATTCACTTTGTACCTTTTGGCTTTGGCTGCAGGATTTTTTTTATCTTGCGGACATATATGAACTGAGTGCTTATCTGTGGGTTGTTTGCGTGAAAGTAAATGCATTTATGGTGTTTGAATGATTGCTTCACGTGAAACTAACATTTTTAGCCCTTGACTTTTCATTTTATTCGACCTAAATGCCAAATCTTGACTGATTTTCCTGTTATTGATGTCTGGAACAATGGTTCAGTGTAGTTTCATTTTATTCGACCTAAATGCTAAATCTTGACTGATTTTCCTGCTATTGATGTCTGGAAGTATGACGCAGTGTAAGATAATTTACTCCTTGTATGCAGATAAGCATCTGCTTGTGTCAGTTGTTGTGTGTAATTAAAATTTGTACTGTGTTTGTGTAGGTGGAAATGATTTAAAGTTGTTGACATGTTGTAAATAACTTTTAGCACCTACATAGATGTTGTCTCTCTTCATACCTTGATTTTTATTGTTCATGTACAGATCTATGGTCTATGTAAAAACTCATTGGAGTACTGAGAAGTGTAACAGATACTAATCAAGATCATCTTTTTACCAACCAATTTATGCTTTACAAGCTCATTCAGTAAAACCCGAGCTCGAGTTACTTTTCATGTGGACTATCTATATATCAACACACCACACAAACTTGACCAATCTAAAAATTGCAAACACATTAGTATTGCATCAAATTCGATCTTCCCTTTTTTACTTCAAAAGTTGACTGTGTTTATCTGCATTGAACCCAGCGACCGGCTTTGGCGACCCCAAACCAATGACGGACAACGAAAATAACTTAATCGAGATATTGGACGAAAATACCCCCATAGACACCAACAAGTACATAAATTTCGTCCGATCCCCACAATGTGGGGCCATCGCGACTTTTTTCGGCACGACTCGCGACACGTTTGATGGAAAGACCGTCTTAGAGCTGAGGTACGAGGCGTACATTCCCATGGCCGTACGTTGCATCAAATCAATATGCACTTCGGCTAGGGCTTCGTGGGCCCTACACTCGGTGGCTGTGGCCCACCGTGTGGGCCCGGTCCCGGTTGGGGAGGTGAGTGTGTTCGTCGCAGTCTCGTCCGTGCACCGGTCGGACTCACTCGACGCGTGTAAGTTTGTGATCGACGAGGTGAAGGCTTCGGTGCCGATATGGAAGAAAGAGGTGTACGCGAATGGGGAGGTTTGGAAGGAGAATTCGGAGTTCTTGGAGAGGAGGGGTGGGCCCGGCCCGATTGCGGCGGTGAAGGGCCCGGAGAAAGGAGGATGCTGTGGCGCTAAGGTGAAGGTGAATGCAGTCGAAAAAGTAGGATGAAATGTGTTGCAGTTGTCGTGTTATAAGGTTTCATGGTCCTAAACGTGTGTTATGTTTTCGTTATGTTCAGGAAAGTAGAATGAAATGTGTTGTTGTCTAATGAGTGGAATCATCTCTGTGAACCTTAAAAAGAATGTTGTTGTAACTTATATCTGAAATCAAATTCCTCGGATGGGAAATGGTTTTTTTTGGTTTGGTGAAAAAATTTGCAGAGTGAAATGTGTCATTTATGTCATAAATAAACTAAACCGATCAAAATGTGGAGGATATGTATGAAACGATATCGAAAACTAACAAACTTCATTAGCTAAAGCTAAAAGCACACTAAGGTACTGAAATCTGAATAAATATCAACTTAAGCCACAATCTCAAGTTTACAGAAGAGTTGTTGTAGCTGCAGGAAACATAGTAATTAAGTGAAATTAATAAATAAACATGTCATACCGTGCTCAATTCTAGTAATATGGATATATACCAGTGAGAGTTTTGTGGGGTTTCTGTGATGTTTAATTCGATTTTCTTACGATTTAATACTTCTTCATCAGAGCTAATGAAAATGACTTGTTGTTTCTTAGGTTTGTGAACATGTTCCTTCCCTTTAAAACGTTCGCATTTTCAGCCAGTGGTCTGTTTCTTGACATGCTAGCCTAATATACTCAGTTGGGCCACCATAGGAAGGGATTTATTTAGAAAAACTACCCCTGGTTTTTGGATAATTCCAATAATGGTCCGATTCATAAAGCACAAACAAAACAACCCCATGAAAGTTTGAATCTATCTTGGAAAATAAAAAAATTGAAATTAGTTGCATAAAAAAAAAGAAGAAGAAAAGATTGGAGATGCGGGGGATCGAACCCCGTGCCTCTCGCATGCAAAGCGAGCGCTCTACCATTTGAGCTACATCCCCTTGGACGATTGCTCATTGATGTTAAATATATATAACTGCTCTTAAAAGAGACTTCCCAAAATCAGATCATGAATAATCTTCAAACGGTTAAAGAAGAAAAAATCTGTTACCGTCTAGATATTCGGGTCAAGGTCGACGAAAAACTTATAACAGGCAGTTGGCAAGAAATGTAAATAACACAATACAAATGAGATACAACACCAATCCAATCTTTACTCGCATCAAACCTTCCTCACAAACTAACGGTCGCAAAAGCTGGCAACACACCACCACAAATTCGGGCAGCTCTACTACTGCTCTACCATATGACCAAACACACAATATCACACATAAAAAGAAAGGTTTTGTCCTGGACACCAACATTACAACACAAGAAACAAAAAGGCAAATCATCACACCCTTGCGAAATCAATCGTCCGTTTGCCGTCGTGCCCTTTACTAAAGAAATAACCCAAATAATCCGAGTAAACAAGCCGTCTATACACCGGCCTCTCCCCATCCTCCATCACTTCCGGTAACGGGCCAATTACAGCATCGGCCGACGGGTTCGCAAAAACGGGCACCGAAACCCTATCCCTATTCCCGTCCACAAACACCCGATGCTCAACACTCTTATACCTCCCGTTGCTCATTATCTCGAGCACGTCCCCAATGTTCACGACGAGTGAGCCATCGACTGGCGTGACGTGGGCCCACTCATCGGTGGGCCCGGATAGTCGTACGTAGAGCCCGCCAATATTGTCCTGTAAGAGTATGGTTAGGGATGAGATGTCGGAGTGGGGCCCGGCACCGGCCGCAAGCTCAGGGTTTGGGCACTTTGGGTAGTGGAGAAGGGTGGTGAGGAGGGAGCCCATAAGGGCGGATTCTTTTGCCTCGTCGATTTTTTGAGTCATGTTGATTCCATTGAGCAATGTCTCTAGAAGCTTCCGGATGACGGGTTTTACTCGGTTTATGTATTCGGAAACTGGAGCCCTGTGGAGGAACCCGGAACACATTGGAAATAACTTCTATCAACTAAGGTTAAATAAAAGGGAAAAAGGCCTATTATTTGTTTCAATTTTAAATGTTACAACCTGAATATTATTTTTCTTCTAGAGACTATAAAACCTTAATGGCTATTTGTAATATTCTGGGAGTATTTATTAGTCATCTTTATGATACCTGTTTATCAGATCAACTAGAACCTCAGTGAACTGGGATTAAAGTATGATAGTATCCTTTATTTGTATGTTCTGATACTACTGAAACTAAAGTTCTGGTTAGGGCTATTTCATCTTGATTCAGAAACTAAAAGTAAAACCCAAGAACATAGACACGCACCCAAACACACTAGATATATCATGAAGAAAGACTTTGAGGACAAAAAAGAAGTAAAATTTTGCCAAATTCTTTAGTTCTGAGACTCTACCAACCAAGTTCATTTCGAAAGCTTCACCATTATCAGAACAAGGTTACACTGAAAGGAGTAATCTTGCAACTGAAGACTACGATATATGCAATATAATCGATTAATCGTGCTGCTCAAAACTCTTAACTTGAAGAACACTACTGAAGAAAACATTGCAAATTGCAGTTCATCCCCTCCGATCAGCAATTTAGCACTTGGCTGCAAAACACCACTTAAAACTTAAAAGTTAAAACACACTCTTCATATTTATCCCAATAACAATAAATGCACATGGATATCATCATCAGTCAGAACAATGCAAATACCAACAGATTTTCGCGATATAATAAGCGTATTTGTAATTACAATCAATAATTGATCTTTTTCTGCTAATTTTTTGTCCCTTATATTAGGCCAAACCTGATAACTCATGGGTCACGGCAATGGCAATGCAATTCCGATAGCAAACACATTAGAAAATCAGACACCATTCTTTCTAATAAACAAAACAACATATAAAAAATACATCCACCAAGACATACAAACAAATCTTATCAAGCTGCAAAACCAACCCATAAATGGCGACAAGCACGTACCTAGTCACACTGGGCCAGAGCGCAAAATCCGCATCATCAATCTCCGGGCCTACAAGATGAACGAGATAATCTTTCCACTCCAAAACCTTCTCGGCCAAGGGACTGAAGCTGGTTTTCAGCATCACACTCTGAGTGGGAGAATTTTCCTTGAGATACTTCCTCCTCTCCTCCACAGGCAGACCGAAGAAATCGTGAGAAGCCCTCTTCACGTTCTCCATAACTTCTGGTGGGATGCCATGATTGACGATCTGAAAAAAACCCCAAGTTTTCGCGGCCTCGCAGATTGATTGAGCGGTCTTGGTGTCGGCCCATTGGGAGACGTCGATTGTGGGTATGGATTTCTGGGTCGAGACTTGGATATGGCTTAGTCTTTGGTCAGGCGGCTGTATGAATTGGCTTGGGATTTGCTTGAGGTTTAATTGAGAGAGGCCCTTAACTCCATTGCCGTTGTGTACTAGAAAATCGATGAGGTCTTCTGGTTCAGAGTGGTAAAGGACTGACATTTTTCTTGAGCTTACTGTAAGGAGGAGAGTGGGAGTTGGTGGATCTGCACAAATTTGTGTCCAGTAAATGGGACCAAATGCTTTTAAAATTACTCCAATGGTCTCTTTATCCCCTACTACAACGATGAGGTCTATATCTAGTACGTCACCCGCGCGCTTGAGCGACCCAACGTTAAAAAAATAATGTTATTAAATTATAATTTAAATAAATAAAATATAATCATAATACATATGTAGAGATCATAAAAAGTATGCTGAAAATTTTACTCATTATATTTTAAAATATTTATCTAAATATAACATTGTTAGTGAATGAAATGTATTCATTATTACCATTATCATCATAAATAATAATCCTAAGACAATATGGATCCATGACTACAGAAAAAATAACATATAACGGGATCCGTGACTACAGAAAACATAACATATAAGTTATTTTGACAACATTTGTGATGTTCGATGAAAATTAATATTTCTCACATTATTGACACTTTTCCTAAAAATGTCTTGATAATAATATATTTTTCTTCATTTGTGAATAACTAAAGTCATTGTTACTGTTATATAGATAAACTGATATAGAATAACTGAAATAAACATGTACAAATATGAGCTAATTAAAATTAAAAAATAAAAATAAATACTTAAGAAAAAAATAAAAAAATGACTCAATTTCGAATCGCATGCATTTAGTTTTAAATTAGGTGCACGTACCTTTTAGTTTTTTTATTTTTTTATTTTTTTAATTTGGAAAATAAATTTTAATTTCATTTATTTGCAAAATAAGTCCGATGGTGATCAGAATTACGTGCAACATGAATCACCTATTGCAAAGTTATAAATGTGAACAATAATAGCAAATATTCATTTGAATAACAAATTACTTATTTTTTGCACGTAATTCACACAGAATGAATTTAATATAATTTTTAGAACTACGTTGATAGAATATTTGTAAAATGATAAGAAAAAAAAATTAAATTATATTGTATAAATTATAAAAAGTAAATTTTATTTTGATATAAAATAGCTTTTATGATATATGATAAGAAAAAGTAGTTGATGCATTATAATAGTTTGCAAAGATTCAGTTGCGATAATATATTCATGTCATCATCTTAAGAAGAAAAGCATGTGTATAAAAATAAACAATTCACAATAGTTACACATTATGCTATTTTTATTCATAAAACATTATAGTTGCATAATTGTGGATCAATCAACAGATTAAAATGCAGGCAATCACTTTAATCACAAACTTTTATATGAATTCAAATTTTAAGTCTAAATGAAACAAATGATATCCACTAAAAATAAAATAATTTAAACAAACTATGTATTTTGGTCTCAGACTATTCAATCATTTAGGACCAGAACCATTAGCTTATTTCTTACCCGTAAATGAAACCAAATTATGAAGTCATGTTTAAACATTAAATCATCTAATTTTTACTTTGTAAATGTCCATCTAAAAGTAGAAAAATATAAGTATAAAAAACTATACGAATAAAAAACAATATAAATATATGAATGAAAAATTAATAATAAATTAACTTGTTATGCCTTTTTTCAAGAATTATAATTGTATAATTATTGTTTATTCATAAAAATATCATACGTCAATTTGGCCTCGTCAATATTTTGACAAACATAAAATAAATTATATCAACTAAAAATAAAAAAATAAACAATTTTTTTTTTTTTTGGGTCAAACAACATATTCAATCAAACTAAAATCAATATGAATTTTCTCTTTATTTCACAATTAAATACATGAGTTGCACTCTCTGAAATCCTGTAACTCTCTCAATTTGTTTGTTATCATTTATATTTTTCTAATATTAGTTCTAAAATATTTATGTATTTTTTACCCATAAATACAATTAAATTTTAATGTTATGTTCGATTCTAAGTTGTTTTGTTTTTTATTTTTATTTTTTTCATATACTTAGTTGATATTAATAAAAGCAACCTAACTTCAGATAAACTATTTCGTAAAATTAAATAAGTATTCAGTATTTTCGAGAAACATTTTATATGATATGCATGTTAGTACCCAATACCCGTAGATGATACTTTTATATTTTATTTTTAAAAAAATCTTCCCTTTTAGTCGAATAGATTATATTGTTTATGACAAATATAACTTTATATTGTATCTCTCTCTCTCTCTCTGTTATATATTTTTTTAAAATTAATTATAAAGTAAAAAAAAATATAAAATTTGGTTGTGTAAGTTTGCGATTTGTTATTAACTAGATTGATGAACTCTTGTATTGATATTTGCATATTTGAGAAATATCACAATAATAAGCATTGTTATTTTTATCAAGTGGTAAACTATTGATACTTTTTTTATATTAAAATAATTAATCACCTTAAAGTATAGTTTATATGTATTATTTGCACTCCATATGTGTGATTATGAAATGATAGTATATTTAAACTAATCTATAATGATAAATGTGTTATTTTTTTGAATTAAGTCTTCGTGCAAATAATTATTTTTTGTTGTTTGAATTATCCACTAACGGTTTAACAAATTATTTTCAAATCCATGAATATTGGAGTGTAAGTCTTAATGCGATTATCTCTTTGGGATTGGGCGATTCTCTCTTTGAGATTGTGATATTCTCTCTTTGAGATCATCCTTTTCTTGGGTGAGGTTTTCTTTCTAAGCGTGCTGTTGGGAGTTTCCATTTAAGATAGTGTGAGAGTTTAGGGTTTTGGTTTGAAGGCGATGGAAGCTAATACTGCGGAAGGTTGGGGAGATGAGGTCATGTCGAGATTGCAGAAGTTTTCACTGTCGGATAAAGAAGCTGGTGACATTGAAATCCGGTTGGATGATATCAAATCGAGTGAGGACGAGTGTGGCCGGAGTTTATTTGGGAAAGTAGTGGGGGATCGTCGGGCTGGCCTACTGGGAATCAAGCGAGCCATGGGAGAGATTTGGAGAATACAACAAACATTGGAAGTTAAGGAGCTAAGTGCCAATTTTTTCCAGTTCATTTTCAGTTCTATAGATGATAAGAAAAAAGTGGCAGCAGGCCACAACTGGTTATTTGAAAACCAGTATCTCATTCTTCAGGAGTGGATGCCGGGACTAACAAAGAACAATGGCTGTTTTGAAGAATTGAACATATGGGTCCAGGTGTATAATGTGCCATTAAATTGGATGTGTACGGAGGTGGGAATGAAAATTGGTGGAGTGTTTAAGAGTGTTAAAAATGTAACTATATGCAAAGCTGGTGGAGAGTTGGGAAGTTATCTCAAATTGCTGGTAGTGCTGAATCTAAAAGAGCCTGTTCCCAGATGCACAAATGTGAAGCTTGGAGATCAAAGGGTGAGAGTTGCATTCAAGTATGAGAAGTTGGTGAACCTATGTTATTATTGCGGCAGAATAGGCCATTTGGATAGAACCTGTCAGGGGAGACCGCAAGATATTGAAAATAACAGCTTAGCTGAGGGGCAATATGGTGAATGGATCAAAGCAAATGACCTGCCAGGTGGGGGGAGAAATAGCTTCTCTGGGAGCTCGGGGGCCAAAACAAGTGGACCACAACAGAACTCAAAATTTGGGTCAAATGTGGAAGCCAGCACAAAACCTAATTCACAGAGGCCGGAAATGGAGACTGAGGAATATAGAGGTGGGGAGAGACAGGAGGAGGACAAGGAGTTAGACCAAGATAAAAGGGGTGAAGAGATGCAACTATGCCTTGCTGTCATTGAAGAAGAGCCAGAACAAGAGGATCAAACCAGTGTGGTAATGGTGAGTACTACCCGAAATGCACTGACTATTAAGGAAGCAGAATCTAATCAGATAGCGGAACAAGATAATATCCAATCTCATGGTGAGAAGGGGGAAGTGAGGACTACTAAAGGCACTACTTGGAGGCGAAAGGTTTCTACCTCAGGCAGATTAAAAAGGCAATGTGAGGAAGATAAAGCTACAGTTGATACTCTGTTACAGAAAAGACTTCGAGAAGTCAGTGGCAAGGATAAGGAGGTGCTGGAAGGTGATGAACATATGACAAAATGCAAGAAGCCGAAGTTTGAAAAACCACAGGACAAAGCAAAGGTGGAGAAGGCCAACCTTGAGTGGCCCCAATGTGATCAATGAGGGCCATGGTGTGGAACTGTAGAGGGCTGGGTAGGCCCTGTACAGTTTCCCAGATCAAGGATTCTAGAAGAATCCACCACCCCAATATTATATTCCTATCTGAGACTAAAAAATCTCCTAAGTTTACTAGAACTGTTTGTAGAAAGTTGGGTTTTGAAAACAGATGGCAGTTGGTGGAGCCAGAAGGGACCAGAGGTGGACTATTAGTGATGTGGGATGTGAATACTGAAGTTAGGACTGTGATAGGAAATGAGTTTTTTCAGGTGGAATTAATGGGTCTGGGCATGGTTGGTTGGATATGGTTTATATTTGTTTATCTGAGTACTGACAGGGGTACTAGAATGAACCAGTGGGCTTTCTTAGAAGAGAGGCAATCTTCATGGGGCAATGTATGGGCCATGGCTGGGGATTGGAATGATCTTATAAGTAATGAGGAGAAGAGAGGGGGAAGAAGAAGGCCAGAAGCTAGTTTTGTGGGATTTAGAGATTTTATCATGAGAATGGGAATGCAAGAGGCTGACCAGAAATGGTCTTTTTTCACATGGGGAAATAATAGAGATGCAGAAGGTTATGTTGAAGAAAGGCTTGACAAAGTTTTTACATCTTTGGAGTGGTCTAGTAGATTCCCTCAAATGGAAGTGTCTAATTTCTTCAGATGTGCATCAGATCATAATGTCTTGCTACTGAATACTGATAGAGCTATGGTTTTTAATAAAAAAAAGATTCTTGTTTGATGGCAGTTGGGGATAGAAGGAGTTAACCAAGCTGTTGAAAAAGAATGGTCTATCCAGATGGAGGGCACACCTATGTACCAAGTACATCAGAAGGTGAAGTCTACAAGAATGGCTTTGATGGAGTGGAGAAAACCGTTGAAAAGAAACTCTGAAGAAGCAATTAGGCAGTTGACCTTGAAGCTTGAGGTGTTGAGAGGGGAGGGGGGTAATAGAAATTGGGAGGACTGAGACATTACCAAAGCT